GGGGCTCCTTGGGGCTCACCTGTCAGGTACCTGTTCTATGGCCCCACACAGGAGGCAGGAAGTGGCAGCAGACGCGGCCTCCCCTCCCAGCCCACTGCTCTCCCTAGCAACCATGCAGCAGTGCCCCGGGTGGCTGGCAGCTGAGCAAGGTCCTCCGAGCCAGCCTGAGTCCATGGCCCCAGGTCTCTGCAGCCCCCCGCCGGGCTGACACCAAGCCCTCCTAACTCCTCCGATTCCCCCGGGAGTCCTGCAGAGTGCAGGGCCAGGTCGGACTCGCCGTCAGTGGTTTTGGCAGTGGCTGGACAGTTACGAAGGTGGTCTGGGGGGTCAGAGAGATGGAGCATTTCACTGTCCCAGTGGCAGAGAGAGCCTGGGGGTCGGTGAAGGCCCCTGGGAGGCTCACAAGACAGTGCTCCACGTGCCCTGCGTGCCCCTTGGCCTGCAGACGGCTGCCCTGAGCAGAGGGAGGCAGAGGCTCTGGGGTCTCAGACAAGAGAGTTGGGACAAGTCCCCCTGCCCTCCCATCTGAATCCTTGCCTCACTCTAGCTCTGAGCCTCGGGGACCCTCCCTGCTCCCACCTGTCTCAGTCTCGAGTGCCCTCAGGCCACCCAGGGTGGTCCTGCACAGTGACAGGCCAGCCCTGCACAGTGACACACCGTCCCTGCACCGTGACACACCGTCCCTGCAGTCACACAGGCCCTGCAGTGACACACGGGCCCTGCACAGTGACACACTGACCTTGCAGTCACGCGGGCCCTGCACAGTGACAAGAGAGACTCAGGGGCAGCAGTGGAACATCGCCGAGTGCAAGGTCTTTCTGGGTGTGGCCCCGGCACTGTGCGGCCATGTGTATGTCCCCGAGTTGCTGTGTAGATGGGGGGAGGGACACTTCGCTGTCACACCTTCACTCCAAGGTGCTCTGGGCCCGGTCTTCGTCCCAGCCCTGCAGTGTGGCATGGCTACGACTCTGCAGACTGCTCCTGCAGGCGAGTTTCCTGTCACACACTTGGGGCAACGTGTGCAAATCACATGGGCCTCTAGGCCGTCCCCAGCCTGCGACAGGGAGGGAGGGAGAGGAGGGCCAGCCGTCTGCTGCCCACACAGCCCTCCGCAGCCTTCGAGTCATGCCGCCCGTGCCCTGCACCACCCTCTGCAGGGAGAATGAGGGGCCTGTCAGCCTTACCACTGCTGGTCCAGGTGCTTCATGTCCGGAGTCTTCATGTGACCTGTTAGACGTGCCGAGGGGCGAGTCTGACCTCCCCCAGGTGGGAAACTGAGTCTGGTAAAGGGTGCCAACCCAGACCAGGAGGGAGACCTTGCACCGCCAGAAACAGGCACCTTCACGGTGAGACCTCCGCAAGCCTGACCTGGCGAGGAGCTGTCAGAGCTGTCAGGCTGCAGCGGGGAGTGAGGTGCTGTGGGGGCACAGGCCGGGTGGGCCTCCCTGGGCTGCTGGGCTGCAGCCACACCTACCACAGGGCGGCCAAGGTCCCGTGTGCTCAGAGACCAGACCGTGCAGAGCCGTGTATAATCTCCTTTTACTGTGCTCCCTCCTCAGCACCTGCAGTGGGGCGACCCCGTCAGGAAAGGAGGGGGCATTTACAACACGGGGTGGCCTGAGAGGGGCCTTCGGCATCCCCACGGTTCTGCTTTCACAGTTTGGTAGGAACAGATATTCTTCCTCTCGCCTGGGAGGAAGGGCGAACGTGGACGCCTGTGCGGGTCCCTGACGCACTTCCTCGCCTCCTGAGAGTGAAGCAGGCTGGAGCGGGCTCCGTCCTTCGCCTGCGCTTCCAGAACTCACAGGAGTTAAGACTCACTGAGCTGGCGTGTGCCGGCATCTCCCTGGGGCAGAGACCCCTCCGCCCTTGTGTCACTGCCCAGTGACTCCCTTCCTGGTCCACTCCCACCCTAGCCCTAGGCCAGACACTGTCTCCGCAAATAGGAGGCCCTCGAAGCTCCCAGTGCTCCCTGATCCCCAGCACGGACTCTAGGCCCAAGCAAGGGGAAAGACTACATTTAAAATTAGTAAGTAACAGTAGGGGTGGCGTGGGAGGTCTGGGCAGCACCATCCCTGCAGGGTCTCGGGGTCCACCACTCAGCCCACACTTGAGAGCCGGGAGCTCATGCACACCAGCGTGTATGCACACATGTGCATGTGAGTGCAAGTGTGCACGCACACACGCACACACATGCACTCAGCTCACATGGCCTCCTCCACCAAATCAAAGCCACGCTTCCTCCGGCCTTCCTCTGCAAACCTCCTCCTGTCCTGGATTGGACTCTGGGCTGCTCCTCCCTGTCCTAACAAGCCAGGACCTGGCCACAAGGTACCGTGATCCCTACTCAGTCTGCCGCTGGGGTCTGTGCCGAGGGATCAGAGTCCAGTTTCTTGCAAATGGAGCTCAGAGGAAGGAGAGAGGAGAGCCCACCTACTCCAGTAAGAAAAAGCCAAAAACCTTATGTACAAAGAAATAAAATGTTTTACTCATGCACACAAATATACACACACTGAAGTCCGTGCCAGGGGCGGGTAAGACAACCCCAGTCTCAGATCTGCCTTCCAGGGTGCTTCGGGCCTGGGGTCTGGAACAGTGCGACCTAGCACCCCAAGATAGAGCCTGCAGCCCCCTCCCACCTCCAGAGGCAGTCCAGGGGCTACATCCGTGCTGCCCTTAGAGTTGGAGGAGGCAGGTCTACAGGGAAGAACCCCAGCTCCACGGGGAGGCGGCTCCTCGAACCTCTGCCCCCTCTGGGCCACCAGCTCGCTGCCACTGTTGCCCTCCCACGGCCCAGTCCACGCTGGAGGCTGAGGGTGGCAGGGGCTCAGGCAGAGTCAGTTCTCCAGCATCCTGGGGAGTTCACAGTCTCGGTTCTGGGGGTGCCCCTAGGCAGGGATGCAGCCAGTAGGCCTGTCCATAGGCCAAAGTCCTGTCCCCAGTCTGCAGGTGTGCGTGTCTGGGGTGGCGGGCAGCCCCTGCCGCTACACCCCGGTCTCCTCTTTGATCCAGTCCCGAAATACAGGGAGCCTGGTGTACACGCCAGGCTTGTTCCTCTGCGCGCAGCCTTCGCCCCAGCTCACCACGCCGGCCTGGAAGATCCGCCCATCCGCCTCCACGCTGGACAGGGGGCCCCCGGAGTCTCCCTGGGTGAAACAAGCCCTGAGCGTCAGCAGGGCCTCTGCCCGCACTCCCGCCCCCGTCCCCACCCTCCACGGCCACGCACCTGGCAGGCATCCACGCCCCCTCGCAGGAAGCCCACACACATCATGCGCGGTGTGATCTGCTGTGGCAGCAGCTCCTCGCATTTGGTCTGGTTGATGATGCGGATCTCACCCTTCTGCAGGATCAGCGCCCCGGAGCCTGAGGAGAGGACAGGCAGGGTTGAGCCCCACCCAGCTCCCGGAGAGCCTGCCAGGACTTCCTGCAGAAGTCAGGGCCTCGGAGAGTCTGTGGACAGCCTGCATGCCCATGCTGAGCAAGGAGGAGTGGCCACATGCTGGGCACACTGCAGCCAGGCGGCAGAGGTGGGCATGGCCCACGTGAGGGGCTGAGGCAGACAGGGAGGCTTCGGTGCCTCTTAGCGCAGCTGATTAGGAGAATTAATATAATCTGGGATTTTCTACACATTTCTAGCACTGTGCTATGCTAACGTGACAGCAGACTCCTGCCGTCTATCACTTGCCACTGAATGGCCTGCTTCCCTCATGTGGAGGCAAAAGGGGCCCCGGCAGTGAGGCCAGCTCCTGCAGCAGGTGGTGACACTGCATGGCTCACCAGGCCTTTTCCCCAGGTCACCAAGTGGTGCTGTCACCACCTCTCACATCCATGAAGCACCATCGGGGGAGGTGCTCGCATCTTCATTTTGCAGATGAAGAAACATGAACAGAGAGCTTAAGCAACCCGCCCCAAGTGGCAAAGCCAGGCCTTCCAGCCAGCACCCACCTGCAAACCCTACTCCTCCTAGAAGCCTCCATTCCCTTCGGGGCAGGGGACATGGGGGCAGCCCAGCAGCCCGGGAGCCAGCGCAGACTCGGAGGGAAGAGAGGTTCTCTGCAGGCCCCCGGGTCCTGCCCGATGCTCACCTCCCTCCTCGGTGTGCCCCCAGCCGGTCACCCAGATGGCCTTGCCAGCAGGGAAGACGTGGGAGGCGTCGGGCAGGCAGACGGGCCGTACCACAGTGCTGAACTCCACCGGCTTCTCCAGCTCCAGCAGCGCAATGTCGTAGTCGAAGGTGAAGTCATTGAAGGAGGGGTGGGAGATGATGCGCTTGACCTGGCGCTCCTGCACCCCCGAGGCGCTGCGCTTGCTCTGGTCGTGCAAGCCCAGGAAGGCCGTCCACTCCTTAGGATCCGAGTACCTGGAGGGGCCAGAGGACGGACAGGAGCCGTGAGCCGGTGGAGTGCGCACACTGTGAGCCGGTGGAATGCGCACCACACGCGTTCCCGTGAGGGCTGGACCGTGTGCCCACAGCTGAGCACCTGTGCCGCGGAGACGCCAGCCCCCTTGGCCGCTCACCCTCCTTCAGAACCGTGTCTGTCTGACGGCCAAGCATGGCGCTTACAACCGGATCTGTCACCGAGGAACAGCACGGAAATCGAGCCCAATGAGCTCTGAGCACAATGGTATAATTATATATATGTATATAAAATACATATATTACATCACGACTGGCCCGATTATCTGTTCTTCTGTTTTTCTATGCAAAAACACGTCGTGACTTTCTGGATGACCCGATACATAAATATACATCTATGTAATATATCCTAATATGACATGTATGTAAATATATCCTGATATGACATGTATGTAATATATCCTAACATGACATGCATGTAAATACATCCTAATAGGACATGTGTGTAAATATATCCTAATACGACATGCATGTAAATATATCCTAATATTACATGTATGTAAATACACCCTAATATGGCATGCGTGTAAATATACCCTAATATGACATGTATGTAAATATATCCTGATATGACATGCATGTAGATATATCCTAACATGACATGTATGTAATATATCCTAATATGACATGCATGTAGATATATCCTAACGTGACATGTATGTAATATATCCTAACATGACATGTATGTGATGTATCCTAATATGACATGTATGTAATGTATTCTAATATGACATATATGTGATATATCCTAATGACATATATGTAGATACATCCTAATACGACATGTATGTAAATACATCCTAATATGACATGTATGTAAATACATCCTAATATATCGTGTGTGTGTATATGTATTCTGGCAACAAAATGAATCAGAAAACCCCACGGGATCTATCTCCTGGGTTTGTGTCTGGGAACGGAGTGGGCTGGGCACGTCTGAGAGCACATGTACACTGGGACTGAGTGGGGAGTACGCATACACGGGAGAGCTTCCAGGTGAGAAGGGACAGGTGTGGGCGGGGCCCCAAACAAAGCTCCGACTTGGGAAAACGGGCCTAAAAGCAATGCCAACAGCCAGAACTTGGTTTCAAAATAGCCTTCTCCCTCGAAAGAAACTGGATGCATTGGAGACATAGCCGGTGGCAGACCCGGGGCAAAAATGCAGAGCGAAGCCAGGACGCTCGGTGTCAGCAGGAGGCGAGCGAGCCCTCCAGCTCTGGCGCAGCCAGTCTGATCGCCCTCACCAGCCAGAAGCAGGACGTGCGTGCTGTCAGTCATGATAGGGTTAGACTGTTGAACTCATTAAATCGTTTAAGAAGGGAGGGTCTATCGGTCCATCCTGAGTCTAGAAAGTCATCAAAGCAACTTTTTAAAATGTACGGCACACCATGGCGGTAAGGCCACGGCAAGGCCACGGCGGTAAGGCCACGGCGAGAAGGCCACGGCAATAAGGCCACAGCAAGGCCATGGTGGTAAGGCCATGGCAGTAAGGCCATAGCAAGGCCATGGCGGTAAGGCCACAGCAAGGCCACAGCAGTAAGGCCACAGCAAGGCCACGGCGGCAAGGCCACAGAAGGCCGGAAGGCCCTGCTCAAGAGAAGCCAGACCTGTGGGAAGCCCATGCAGGTCCAGATGCTGGCTGCCCTGTAAGCACCAGGGACACCCGTGATCTGGCTGGGGAGGCCAGGGAGGGGACTGCAGCATGAGACCCATTGAGGATGCTTGCTCTCATTCTCTCTCCTCTCTCTGTGTCACACTCTCATAAAAACATAAACAAAAACAAAAACAAACTTAAAAATAATTAGAGTCAGCCCTGTAGCCTAGTGGCTAAAGGAGCTAGATCCCACACAGTCGACCATGCTTCGAGTTCTGGCCCTGCTGGCTTGGAAAGCTCGCCCCAGATCCTCACAGGATGGAGAACAGAGGTGGGACCGTGGCGTGCGCTACTGGGTGCGTTTTCTCCCTCTCCCTTTCTCTCTGTCTCATGCACCCTCTGACAATTAAAAAAAAAAGTATAAAGGGAGAATAAAAGCTATTCTTTACCACCCCCCCAAAAAACAAACAAACAAACAACAACAACAACAAAACTAATAACATAGAAGAAATGATACAATAAGAAGTCACACTCGGGCAATTCCATGGCAATGGTTCCAACAGCTGGATCCCAGGTGGTTGCCTGCATGGTTCAAGTCCTGGACCCAGCAGCTTGAGAAACAGGCTGGGTGTGTGTGCATGAGGGCCTAAAATCTCGAAAGGAGAGAGAAGTGGAGAAGTGACCCCATGGGGTGCTTTCTTACTTTCCCTCTTTCTCTGTCTGGCAAGACATGTGCCCACTGGCAAAATTTTTTAAAAAATGAAATGGCGTGATCACGACAAGACCGTAAGAACCACCAGCAGACTGCAAGACCCGGGCAAGGGCTACCGGGACACAGGTCTCGGCGCTGACTCGGGGCCTCACCCAGGTCACGTGTCCCTGCCAAGGGGGAAGTCCCTCTATGACAGAGACCTGGACACGCCCCAAAGCAGCAACATCCTATGACCAACTGGCCGCAGAGATTAGAAACAGGCTGTGGTGCTCAAGCTGCTGAGGCACTGTGCTCCAAGGCTGGGACCATGTGGGAGCAGGTTCGAGTCCTGGTCCAAGCCAGCAGGCAGGTGCAGAGCTGTGTGTGACCCCAGCGACGCCTGAATCTTGGGCGCACCTGCACATGTGCCCATTGTGAATTTTAAGCCACCAGGTCCGGGACTCCTGGGCTGTGGCCAGGAACCACAGTTGACTACATGGGAGTCCAGCGACATAATCATTGCACCAAAATTAAGAATTTTTGCTGGACCCAAAATTAAATAATTCTTAAAAAAAAAAGTTGTGCAACTCAGAGGCCAGTAGGTGGCGTGGTGCTTAAGGCACTGGACTCCCACATGGTCGAGCACAGTTCGAGGCCCTGACCCGTCATCTTGAGAATCACAGCAGGCATGTGTCTGTGTGTGCCCAAAGTCCCAGGAGGACAACGGAGGAGAGGGATGGCTGCATGGCCATGCCTCCGGGAGGTGCTTTCTCACTTTCCCTCTCTGGCAAGAACACACACCTTATGACAGAAACCTAAAAGAAAAAAAAAGGAAGCCATGCACCCCCGAGCAAAGTCCCCTATCTCTCTGAAAAGCCTCTCTAAAGTGAGATCTAGAATCTGAAAACCTAACTTGCCAGAAGGTCCTGAGGAGAAGCGAACACAAGCTTGACCAAGACTGAGCCCCTAATAAAAGCGGGTTTATTTTTTTTAAGCATTTTTCTTTCTTTCTTCCATGACCAAAAGAAACAGAGACAGAGAGAGGCACCCCGACAGGGTTTCGAGGCCCACCCCACCCCAGATCACAGGCATGCACAGGCCCAGTGCCCTCGGGGCGGTTGCCAGACCGCCCTGAACCTCCTGAGGGTCGGCCCAGAAGGGTGCTGCGTCTCACCACGCCCAGCCCACAGGCCCCTCCTGGAGCATCGGCCCCTCCAGACTGCCCTGCCTGGGGCCAGCCCACACAAACACAGAGACTCACTCTGAGGCTTCCTGCCGCCCACCACCCTACCCCGGTAACCCACCTGAATCCTCTGTCGTCGACGTAGCAGTGAGCTGCGGAGACCAGCCAGGTGGGCGAGATGAGCGAAGCCCCGCACACGTGGCCCTGGCCCCGCGCATGCAGGCTCACCTGCCAGGGCCACTCGCCTTCCTCTGCGTTCGTGCCCCCGACGACCCGAGACTGCCTGGTGAATGACTGCCGCCCACAGTCTGCAGTGGGAGACGGGGGGTGAGCCGGGGAAGGGCAGCCCAGCCCCAGGGCACACGCCAGAGGTGGCAAGTCCGTGGCCTACAGGGTGCTACTGGGGAGGCGTGGCGCAAGAAGCCCCTCGCAGCCTCTCTGAGCCACGCACCCTCTGACTGCTCCAACCCCCGACCCTGCACGCATGCCCCGAGGGATCCCATGCCTGCTGGTTTGTTTGGGTCTCTTGGGTGTCATTTGCTCGGGTCTCCTGGTAGCACACTGAGGGACAGGTGTCAGGTAGAGCAGATGGAAGCCATGAGGACCTGCAGAGGGCTGCAGGTAGGCCTGCTGACCCGCAGCCTGCACCTCTGAACACACAGGCTAAATGCAAGTGTCGGGTGAGCAAGGCTGAAACTGCTGGGGGCCCGGGCTTACTCTCCTCCAGGCCGCCTACCCGGGGCAGTGCCCGCAGAGCAGGGACCAGACCAGCACTGGGCCCGAACTCCGGCCATGAAGTCGGGCTGAGGCGTTAGCTGCCCTGGCCCTTCCCCAGGACCAGACAGAGCCTATGGGTCTCTGGACTGAATGGCAAAGTCATCCTCTCCTCCAGAAAAATACCCCCTTTCCACCTGGCACGGAGCCAGGCAGCCCATGTGGGCCCCCGCACGACGGTCCCCGGCCCTGCTCACCGCAGTTCTTCTCATCTGAGCCGTCCACACAGTCCTGCTTCCCGTCACACTCAGGGTTGCCCTTGTTCACACAGAGCCCATTGTGGCAGCGATAGGTGTGTTCCGTGCAAGTGACGACATTCACTGTGCAGGGAGGAGGTCAGGGTCTCAGCGGCACTGCCTGGAGTCGGTACCCATGATGCTAGAGGGCGCCCACAGCGTCCACCGCAGGCCCCTGACCCAGCCCGTCCCTCCAAGCCATGCTGCGGCTCTCCCAGCCCAGCACAGGTCCTGCAGTCTGGGACGCCCCCTGCAGGCCCCCTTCACACGCAGGCACTCTGCGCCTGTTACATCTGGACACAGTGTGAGTGCTCCGGGCTGCCCCGGGTACAGCTGCCCTGAGGAGGCAGGCTGGGGGGCGGCCTCACCGCGACTGCACTTGGCCTCGTCGGACCCGTCCCCGCAGTCGTCCTTGCCGTCGCATTTCAGGCTCTGCGGCACACACTTGCCATTGGTGCACTTGAAGGTCTCAGCAGGGCAACCTGGGGAAGCACGGGCTCTTAGCAGGCCACACGCCCTCCCGCCCGGCCAGGCAGGAGCCACAGGGGACCTGGCCGCCCGCACTCACTGCACGCCTGCTCGTCACTGCTGTCCCCACAGTCGTTCACACCGTCGCAGACCCAGTAGAGCGGCTTGCAGAAGTCGTTCTTGCACCTGAACTGGTAGGTGGCGTTGCAGTCTGGGCAGAGTTGAGGGTGGGAGGCAGCGTGAGGCAGGCTGGGCCAGGCCCTCTCCGCAGCCCCCTTTCCCTTGCTGCTTCCCCAAGGGACCTGGGTCATCCCAGAGCCACCGGGGCTGCCTTCGGATCTGGGAGTGGCCGGAGTGGCCCTGGTCCTCTAGCACGGGAGCGGCCTCAGGCTCAGAGGAGTGGCCCTGGTCCTCTAGCACGGGAGCGGTCTCAGGCTCAGAACACTCCCACACAGCAGAGGGGAGGGCCGAGAGCCTACGCAGGGTGGGAACGGGTGCGTTCTGGGCCTTCCTGCCAAGGGCGAGACGGCCAGGCCGGGCGGGCAGGGGGCACTCACGGCAGCCCAGCTCGTCATTGTGGTCGGTGCAGTCGCTCCAGCCATCGCAGCGCAGTGCCTTCTCGATGCAGCGCCCCGTTTTGCACATGAACTTCCCAGGGCACGCTGCAGGGCAGGGGGGGCCTGGAGTCTGTAGCTCCCCCACCCCTCCCTCGGGGCCAGCCCCGCAGCCCTGCTGAGCACCCAGCACATGGGCAGGTCAGGTGCCGGGCCGGGCAGGCCCCAGCCCACCACGGGCAGCCGCCGGCGCAGGAAGCGGGGAGGTCTGACACCGAAGGCACACCAGCGCTCAGGCGGAGGAGAGGCTGGCTGGCCTCGCCCTCCTGTGTCCTGTGACCTTGAGGGAGCTGGCCCTGTAGCCTGGTGATTACGGAAGCCCGACAGCACGTGGCCAGCCCTGGGAGCTGGAGAAACAGGCCACGTGCTCACTGCCCCAAACCCCAGCAGAGTGGAGGATGAAGGGGGTGCAGCAAGCCCCTGTGGGGGTGTGGCCTCGGCCCCTACTCCCACCGCCTGCGTCCCTGTCTCCCTCTGAAGAGTGCAGGTGCTCTCTGGCAACTGAGGAGTGCCAGGCCTGGGGAGCACGTGTCTGCTGGCTGCTTTTAGTACAAGGGACTTCAAACGTCATGGAAAACGGAATTAAATATGAGCTTATTTGGAAACTCCATTCATACTTTTCATACAATATACATTTTCCACCAAGTTTTCTGAAGGCCCCTCATAGCTGTACCTAAGATGGCATTTTTGCCTCAAAAGCTGCTAGCGTGATGAGCATCTCCCCTTGAGGAGTCTCAGGCAGAAGGACACACACCAAGGAGACGACACACAGCCCCCCACAGCCCCACCTGCCCCCCTGACTCACGGTCGCTGGAGTCATAGGACAGGTACTCGGCCAGGAAGCCCGTGTCCGTGTAGGACTGGTCTGAGTGGAAGCGAACGGTGACTCTGCTGCTGTTGCTGGTGACCACAAACTGAGGCTTCTCCCCGCAGTACCTGAGGGACACCGCGAGGGTGAGGAGGGACGCTGCGCTGGGCACGCAGCCTGCAGGGCCCCTCCCCTGCCTCCCCAGTACGCACCTCTTGCCGTTGATCTCCACGTAGTCCCTGGGGCAGGTGTCCGAAGGCACATTGGGCTCCAGCAGGTAGAAGAATTTGAAGATCACCTTCACATACTGGTTGTTGGGCACCTGAGGGGAGAGACCGCGCCGCTTCAGCCAGGACCCTCCACCGGCCCCCGGGCAGCATGGACGCAGCAGGAAGGACGCCAGCCCTACAGAAGGCTGGAAACCCCAAGCTCCTCGCAGGATCTGGGGCATGATGCACCTGTGCCTGACATGTTTCTCAAACTGCTAGCTCCGGGACTCGAACTGCAGTCAGCACGTGGGCTCCAGGGCCTTAGCCATCGTGCCACCCCGCTGGCCCTGCTCTTCTGTTTTCAGTTTTGTTTTGTTTTGCTTTTCCCCCTTAGTTTTGCCAGAGGGCACAAGTGCTCATCAGAGACAGGGACAGAGGGAAGGAAAAGCACCCTAGGGGGCGTGGTCACACCACCCTTCTCTGCCACTTCTCCACCCCCGTATGTCTCCAAGCCGCAGACAGGGACGTGAGCCGCAGAGTCGGCACCTCAACCACCAGGCCCCGGCCGGCCCTCGCAGTGGTGCTGGAGAAAGACTGGAGTGAGTTTCTGACTTCTCTGAGCGAGGGGCCCCTCTGTGCCCAACACACCAGTCTCGCTGCCACTTGTCGAGCTTTCTCTGTGCTCTCCGAGCTAGTCCTGGCGGCACCTCTGAGACACGGGCCGCCACCCCCACTCTCCCTGGGAGCGAGCCAGGCACAGAGGAGCCAGGACCCGAAGGGCTTCCCTTCTCTCACCCTGCTGGTCTACCATTCTGGCGTGTCACGACCTTCCCAACCACCCCTACCTGGATGTCCCACGTGCAGTCGATATTGGGTGGGTAGTGGCCTGGGTAGAACGGACTGTGAAAGGTCCCCTGTGCCTCCCAGAAGGAGCCGCCACAGCCTGAAAGGAGGCAGGAGAAGGCGCGAGGCTGAGGACCTGCCGAGCAGGCGGACACAGGGGCCCAGGGCTGGTTTGGCTCCTGGGCACCTTGCTGTGTCACAGCAGGGTGCTGGACACCCTCAGTGCCAGGGAGCGACAGCTACAGGGGGGCTCCTGCTTCTAGGGGGACCAGGCAGTCTGCAGTCCCCTCAGCTCAGGTCTTCCTGTGAGACCTGTCCCCTCCCCACGGGGCAGTCCCCACCCTGCCCTTCCTTACGGCTCAGCTTAGGCAGCTGGAAGAAGCTGGCCTCGAAACCAGGGTGTCGCCGCTCCGTGTTGGTCACCAGCGTGACAAGCAAGACGTTCTGGGAGGAGAGGAAGGTCAGGTTGTAGGAGGGCGGATAGGTGCCACACAGCCTGTGGGACAGAGGGACAAACGTCAGCGAGAGCACACGGCCCCCAAGCTTCCCACACACCGGCTCAGCTGCCAAGCAGAGGCGGCCACAGAGCCCGGCCCCTGCCCTGACCCCGTCTACACAAGGCCAAGGTGGGCTCAAACAGGGCCTCTGGTGAGCCCCTGCCACATGATCACTGACGCTGAAGGACAGAGTGGTCATGTTGCCCTCTTCAACACGGAGCCTCAGATCATGCCACGCCTGCAGACCAAGGAGCCACCGAACAGACCACAGGCTCAGTCACAAGGACAATGGCTGCTGTGGTTACAGCAGCCCGCATCATCAACTCGCCAGCACGCTGCTCAGGGGTGTAGAACTACTGACTCAGAACCCCGACAGTGCTAGGGAGCAGGCGCACCCATCCCCACTTCCCGGGGTCGTAAACCCATGCACAGCGAGATCCAGCCACTGCTGGGATTCCTCAGTCAGGAAGTGGCAGGGCTGGGATCCAAACCCAGGCATCAGGGCTCATGCTGCAGCCCACACTGCGAATGCCCGCCATCCTGCCTCTGAATAATGCCAGGTTTGGCAACTGTTAAAAATGATGCTTGGTGGGACTAGCAGGTGGTATAGTGGTTAAGGCGCTGGACTCCCACATGGTCAACCACATTTCAAGTCCCAGACCTGGTGGGTTGAAAATCATTCAGGCACACGTGCATGCAAACAAATCCTGAGAGAATGGAGGAGAAGGGATTTCAGTGTGGCCATCCCCTCTGGGGGATGATTTCTCACTTTCCTTCTCTCTTTATGTCCGGTGAGGACACATGGCCTATGGCAAAACATCTATTTTTTAAGGTTTATTTATTTGTTTGTTTATTATTTAATTTGACCAGAGAGAGGCAGAGAGAGAGGGAATGTGAGGGAGCAAGCTGCCAGGGTTAGGACTCAAACTGCAGAAGACCATGTGTGAGTTCAGCACCGTAACCATGACACCACCTAACAAAAAAATTTAAAAAAAAAAAAAAAAAAAAAAAGAAATGACCCTTGGAGACAGGCTGGCTAATTTGGACATACTTAACATACTTCTTTTTTAAAAAGCAGGTCATAGGGAGCCAGGCAGTCAGCGATGTGGTGGATCTCACACAGCTGGCTGTGGTTCGAATCCCAGACCCAGTGTCTTGAAAACTTCTCCAGCTATATGTGAGTGTGCCCAAGATCCCTAGAGGAAACAGCTTCCAAGACACCCCTCTGAGCCCCGTTGCAGGTCCCCCTACCCTCGACCTCTCCCTCCTGGTGTAGGAAGCCACTGCAGGTCCCGCCAAGCTCCCGGAGACACCTCCAGGCCTGACACTCACCGCACCAAGGCGTGGGGCTCCACGGGGCTCAGGGTGTTGTACACGGTGACCATGTCACTGTTCTGCGAGTCGCAGGACGCCACGTCAAAGCTACGGAAGGTGAGGCTCAGCACCGAGCCGGCGTCTCCCCGCAGGGTCCACTGGCAGCGGGCGCGGGCGGGGTAGGGGCTGTCGGGG